AAACAGATCATGCCAGGCATAAGGCAGTAAGCAGCAAAGTAGCAAAGCGGCAATTCACAACAGCAGCCCTCTTTCTGTCCCTTATATTCTATCCATGCTACCTGCCCTTAGCTCTCATACCCAGGGTGGGGCACCCTTAATCTTAGCACAACACCATAAATCAATCCCAGCATCACATCATTAATCCCAGCTTCACATACTCCAGATCCAGCCACCTCTGAAAAGCCCCACCTATGACTAAATGAGGCTTTAAGAGGACATCTAGACACATGCCATAACACCTACCAGTGTAGTTGCAAACCAGTTTTGATCATAAACTGAGTCAAATTTTCCCATAAAGTTCAATGTAAATAAGGTTAATCTGTTCTGAACCATATGTATTTTTTAACCACAAAAATGTGAAACAAGTACAGTATGATGTGAAGAGAGAGAACACTAACCTTGCTTGAGGCATCTTCTGATGTGGAGCACAGGAAGGTGGGTGGAGGGTTATTGTTTGGAGGGAGAGTCCCCCTCCATAAGGACATTGGGGAGATCTCCTTCAGGGGTTTCCTCTCTTTGTCTCTTACCTACAGGGTCAATTTTGATAAAAAAAATCTGTCTGTAATGTCACTAGTTTTTTCCTGTGCTGCGTAACCTCCTGGAAATGAGAGGCAACATTATCATTCAACAGATTCAACACTGTTTGTTACAGTTATGTTGGGGTGGTGCTTGTTAAAGAAATCCTGGTGCTCATTCCATTTTTCCATAATGAATTTTATCACATCACTGCTAACTTCCTCCCTGTCTTCCTCTTCCTCAGTGGAATGCTCTTCACCAAGCACCTTCTGCTGCTCACTCTGGAGTTCAGCAAGTTCTTCCATCATCACCTTGTCCTTATGGTCCTCAACAAGCTCTTCTATGTCTGCACCATCAATGTCCAGACCTATACTCTTGCCTATGGGCACAATCTCTTCCACAACCAGTGCATCAGACCCTTCAAAGACATGTTTAGTGACACATTCTGGCCACAGTTTCCTCCAGGCTGAGTTTAAGGTCCGGTACCTGACATCTTCCCAGGCTTTGTCAATGAGGTTGATGCATTAGAGGACATTGAAATGTTTCTTCCAGAACTCTTTCACAGTCAAGGACTTCTCTTCAGTGACATTAAAACACCTGGTGAAGAATGCCTGTGTGTACAGCTTCTTGAAGTTGCAGATCACTTGCTGGTCCATGGGCTGCAGAAGAGGTGTCCTGTTGGGAGATAGAAACTTGACCTTTATGAAATCATACTCAGCATCCATATCACCCACCAAAGCTGGAGGTATTGTCCATCAGAAGGCATCTTTTAGGCAGTTGGTTGTCAGAAAGATATTTCTTAACAGTGGGTGCGAACACCTTGTGGAGCCATTCCATAAAAAAATTGCCTTGTGACCCAAGCTTTCTCATTGGCCCTTCACACGACAGTCTGGCCTTGTTCACATTCTGTTCCTTGAATGTACAAGGGGTCTGGTAATGTTACACCAGTAGTGGCTTAATCTTTAGATAGGTGCTTACGTTCACATACAGCGAAAGGGTCAATTTGTCCTTCATGGACTTATGCCTCAGCAATGGCTTTTTCTCCTGCATGATACAGGTTCTGTTCAGCACCTTCTTCCAGAAAAGCCCTGTTTCATCACAGTTGAACACGGGTTGAACAACATATCCTTCTGCCTTCATGAATTCCATGAATATTTTCTTGTAGGCTTCTGCAGTGGCCTTGTCAGAACTGGAAGTCTCTCCATGTCTTATCACACTTCACTTGAGGAATTTATCAAACCACCCTCTACTTGCTTTAATTTCATCAATTGTTGTACTTCTGGAGGGGTTTTCTTGCAGTAAATCACGGTACAGTTTCCTGGCTTTTTCACAGATCATAGCTTCACTAATACTATCATCTGCCAGCTGTGTCTCGTTCAACCACACTAACAAAAGTTTTTCCATTTCTTCCAGCATTTGTGTCCTTTGCTTGGTTAACATTGTTACTCCTTTTGCCACATCAGCTCCTTTGATGGCATCTTTATTCTTCAAAATAGTTGAGATTGTCAACCTTTCTATCTTGTACTCTGAGGCCAGATCAGTCACACAAATACCATGCTCATGCTTTGCTATAATTTTCTTCTTCAATTCAGTGATTATTTTCTTAAAAACCTTCTACCATTCTTGCTCTGCACTTTCTTGTTACCTTCATTATTGCTCTACTCATTCTTGACACCTTCATTACCGCTCTGCACTTTCTTTTTTTTTTGGTAGCAGGGATCGAACTTGGGACCTTGTGCTTGCGAGGTAGTCTCCGGAACCACTGAGCTAAATCCCCGGCCTCTCTGCACTTTCATTTTAACAGAAGTGTTCATGAACTGAGGCATTACTGTGTGTGTACTAGAGAATGTCCCATATACATTGTCTTCTTACTATAAAATCTTCTGATATATGAAAGTAGGATATTTTCCATTTATTTACCTCTTCTTTAATCTTCATTTTTAAAATTCTTTTTATAAGAAATCTCCAGAAACTCAGAAGTGTAAAATAACATCTCTATATTATTTCAAGTCAGAAGTCTGGGCACAATCTAGCTCTTCTAGCTTCTCTTATTGGAGTCTCACAAGGCCAAAGTTGAGGTGTAGGTAGGTCTACATTCCATCCTGAAAATCCTGCAAAAGAATTTGCGTCTAATACCTTTCACATTTTGGTAAAATTTATTTCCTTCTCAAACTTTCTATGTGGCCCTTTCTATTGTAAAGCCATCAGTAGTGGCTTGAATCCCTCTTGTGTTTCAAATCTGCCTTTGCACTAGAAAGAAAAGATTCTGTCCTTTTAAGGGCTCATGCAATTACATTGGCTCTTTGCAAATAATCCAGCATAATCTCCTTACTGTAAGGCCAGTTGAACATTAAGATCATTATTTTAATACATCTGCAATGGCCCTTTTGTAATGTAACATACTATATTCACAGATGCAGTGCCAGGGCCTAAATATAGTAATAGGAGTAAAAAATCTACTTAGCACAATCTTGTGTCCTGAAAACTGGCTGAGCCACTTATTAGTTCTAATAGTATTTCAGTGGTTTCCATGGTGGTTTCTGTATACAAAATCATGTTGTTTGTGAATGAAGACAGTTTTGCTATTTATTTCCCAATCTGAATGCCTTTTATTTTTTACACTTGTCTAATTGCCCTGGGTATAACTTTCAAACAATGTTGAAAAACTGTGTTAGGAAACATACTTGTCTTATTCTCAATCTTAGAGGGTAAACATTTATTCTTCCTCCATAAAGTATAATGATCTGTAGGTTTTCCATACATGTCCTCCATCAGACTGAGGACGTTATCTTGTCATCCTAGTTTTTTAAAGTTTTTATCATGAATGATTATTGGATTTTTTCCAATGCTCTTTCTAAACCTGTTAAGAAAACCAGGTGGTTTTTGTCCTTTATTCTGTTCATATATTACATTAGTTTAGTTTAGTGTTCCTGGGATAGATTAAAACTTGAGCATGATCATATTGCTATTATTATTAAGAATTTTATGTTTTTATTAATAAGAGATATTGATGTATAATTTTCTTTTTTGTGTGACATTTTTGTCTAGCTTTAGTATAAGAATAATATTTTCCTTTAGGATGAGTTTGGAAATGTCTCTCCATTTTCATGAAGAATTTGTGAAGGACTGGTATTATATCCTCTTAAAATGTTTGGTAGAATTCATCTTTAAAGCCTTCTGGTACTGTTTTTTTTCTTTATGGAAAGATTTTTAATTACTAATTCAATCTATTTGTTATTCATCTGATTTTGTCTAGATTCTATCAAGTATAATGACCTCAAGATAGAATCTAGCATTGTTGCTGACCTAGTCAACTATAAATGAACCAATTTAATTAGAATTTGACTCCTATTGTCTGTTAACTTTTGTAGTTGAACAGGTAAAATAGTTTTTTTATGTTGATACTTTGGAAATCATTTCAGAAATAACCTGGCTTGTAAATCATTGAATTTTAGAGAATAATTTTCAAAGTTAACAATGCCTACCAGCAGATTTTTAAAATCAAAAACTTTATAAAACTCCAATAAGAATAAAATATGCATAACAATTTTAATGATTTCAAAGGATTTGCAAACTTTTCTTACTTCCTAAAAAATATATACATTCTGAATGAAGAAACTCGGTCTCAGCCCTTCTTTTACTAAATTCCTGCTTCTCTCATTTTTCTCTAAATAAAAGTGCTCTCACAGGCTGTTTCAACCATTTTCTTTTCAGTGGAAAATACTGATACAGGCTCACCCTCTCTAGACCTTTACTAACTGCTGCAGGTGTGGTGTTGTTCTGAGACCTCTGACAGAAAAACTTCCTGTGAGGAATCAGATTAGTTTGGCATGTTAGGTGTTTATTGAAAAAATAATCCTATGAAAGGTATGTGAAAATCTAAATTAGATCTTTAGTGGACTCCTAACAATATTGGTAAGGTTTTTGTAACAAGGCAGTGAGTGCTCTCGCAACTCAGAGCAATTCATACATTTTTTTTTTTTTAATTTGGTACCAGGGATCGAACTTGGGTCCTTCCGCTTGTGAGGCAGGCGCTGGAACCATTAAGCTAAATTCTCGGCCCCTAAATATTTTATTTTGTTGAATAAATACATTTCCTTTTTTTTTTTTTGGTACCAGGGATCAAAATCGGGACCTTGTGCTTCGAGACAGTTGGCGGAACCACTGAGCTAAATCCCCAGCCCCATACATATTTCATTTTGAAAAGTACAAATTAAAATCTGATAGATATCTTACTATAACTGTATATTAATCAGCCCTATATTACTGTATTACTCCTCTTTTGGCAGTTTCTGTCAGTTACGTTGCTTTTTTTCTGATTAATAATAGAAAAACGAGGAGAAATAAATAGGATCTTATATGTAAACAGAAAGATATAGGTACATATAGTTTACAAAGTTTTTCAGTTCATCATGTAACAGTGTCTTGATCCTTTTTCTTAGACCAGAAGATCAATTCAGAAGTTACTAGAATGGGAAAATAACAGACTATATCACAAGGTAAGAAATTGTAAACAAAGCCAGGCATGGTGATACACAACTGTAATCCTAGTACTCTGGAGGCGGAGGCAGGAGGATCACCAGGAGTTTGAAGCCAGGCTAACCTACATAGTGAGTTGAAGGCCAAGCTGAACTACATAGTGAGAACCTGCCTCAACCCCACCCCCCGCAAAAGAAAGAAATTATAAACAAATGAATGCCCTATTCATAAATCCACATTATTAAATTGAAAAAGAAATAAGTACTAAATGGGAATCTTTCAGGCCATGAAGGAATACCTTAGAGAATTAATATTCAATTTTTAATATATATTATTGACCAGATATTTTCAAGTGCCATGTTTCATATCATATACCTGGATTGCTTTCAATGACCTGTTCAAATGTCTAGGTTATAATTAAGTTCATACAAAAATTCTTAACAAAACTGTGCTTTCTTAGCTTGCTTTGCACTGGAAGTTGACTAAAAGGAAATGTGAAACTAGCAATATGATGGAGTATGTAAGTATGAAGTTGTTTTAATTACATTTTTTATTTAATGCTAAATGTAATGTTTTACTATGTTTATCATCTGTCATTTATTCTTCCTGCCATTTTTTTCTCCTCAATCTGAACTTTCATTTGAAATGTAGAGGTTTCCCTTCATTGTTAGATTTGTAGCCAATTTAAAATATCCTTAAAGCCCACACTTATTTATATCTTAGAAAAGTCTCTACTAGTATGCTTAGATGAATACGTTGTATAACCTTGAAGTTGTTTTAACATCATAATGTTATTGTGGTGAGGAGAGCTTCCGCTAAGCAAAATATTTTCAAATGTTGTCAAAACTTGCATAAAATAAAAATTGAGTTATGAATTCTGGATTCATATTTCTGGCTTTTTCTTCTTGGCTGACATTAACCTTTTTAGTGAAGAAACAAGTTTTAATATAGTTTCAGGTTTTTTTTCTGAAAGCTATAAATTTTAGTCATACAACATAAATTCACATATAGCCAATGTGATCAACTCAACATCATTAACATTCAAAAGAATATTAAATTTATCCAAACTTCAAGCTGCTGACATGTAGTACATTATATATTTAATAGTAAAGATACCATTTAAACCAGGATTATTATAAAATCTGTCACCACTTTGAATCGTTTTGGGGAAAATGTGCAAATGACCACAAATGTAAAATCTATTATAGATAAAACATTCAAAAGTATATTAGGTTTTTATTTCTAAACCTTTGTATAAAATGTTTGGTCAATCTACTTGAATACTCTTACTTTTCACAAACAACTTGTAAAAGATAGTAATCCTCAATTGATATCAGCTACCTTAATTGAAAAATATATAAACATATATTTTTTTCTATTCTATGTGACATAGTTTTAATTCATTCTAGTTACCTAAAAAAATGGTGAGAGGGGAAGAAGATGATAATAGTATAATTTAATGGTGTTTGCTGGCTCCTCTGACCCTAAGCAAATAATTTTTGAAAATCAGGAAAATTCAACTGTCAGTTACAGGACATAGTTTTATCTACCAGCTTAACATTTATTTATGTATGTATGTATGTATGTATGTACCGGGGATCGAACTCGGTTCCTTGTGCTTGTAAAGCAGGCGGTGGAACCACTGAGCTAAATCCCCGGCCCTACCAGTTTAACTTCTAAATTGCCAATCTAATCACAACTTGTGGTAAGTTATGTATGAAACTCTGGTCATGAATTTCACTTACTTTGTATAGAACAGGATCAGTATACAGCCTTGTGAAAAATGACTAGACTTCCAGGCCATATTAAATGAAAAATATTTTGTTTTTATTTTACAGGTAATACTAATAGAAGTCTTACCAAAATATCCCATATTCCGACCTGACTGAGAAGTTTTATTCAGTCACTTCTATGTTACCTGTCATTTCCTACCCTTAGTGCCTTGTAGATGATTTTGGAATGAAGGTGGTCTTCTTTGCTGTATTCAACTTATTCTTTATAATAATAGAATATTCTCCTCACTCTTCTATTTGTGTTGGTTTAAGAAGAAAATTTGCACATCTTTTTTTGTTGTTGTTGTTAAATTAAGCTTGTGTTTCACACTGTAAATTTTTAAATACACATGCATATATATATACACATATATGTGTGTATATATATAGTTGCCACTAAAAATAAAACATCAGTACTGGTGTTTAAAAACGAAAACAACCCTGTTCTGAGCATGCTGCCTTATAATTTTCATACTCAGTGTTCCTAAATATGCATCATTTTTCTAGGCTACTTAATGCTCTGTAATCCCTTACTGGACACACTTAAATAAGCTTTTAGTAGCTTTTAGAACTGGTTTTACTCTGCTTTTAAAGGACATGCAAATAATAGTTCTGGTTTTGTCCTGCACTTTGCTAAATTATTACTTATGTTAGTGGATAAAATATTTAAACTTCTAAAGACTTGTAAATATTGTCTCTTTGCATAATGTAAAATGTGGTATGCTATGGTTTACAGAATGTAATATTACTCTTACTGTTGCCAACAATTCTGCATAGATTTTAATATGAATGAAATTTGCTAGCGTCCTTTTGAATGTAGAGACCATTAACATACAGTTTTATGGCAAAGCCGTGAGTTTGTTAAAATTTCAGGTGTAGGATAGGGTTGCCCTTTGTGTAACAAGCAGATTAAAATTGAAATCATTAGTTCACCCATCATGCATTGAACCTGAAACCAAGGATGTGACTTTTTTTCTATTTAATTCAGTATTTCCCATTTTGACCTCTACTCCTTCAACCAAAATAATTTTTTTACATCTGACATATTTTATAGCCTCTATATTCATTTCATTTTTTTACATATTTACTCCCTCCTTTGAAAATGCCCAGAAATATGACTTTTAAGAAGTATTTTGAAATTTCACATGCCTTGGAAAGTATCTAGACCCCCATGAAAGCCACTGATGACCCTTTTCTGGAGTTCAGATACTCTGTTCTGGGAAAGAACTAGTTGTGAAGCTATGCCTAAAGAATATATTGTGGCTGACTTATAGTTGAGAAGATATTCTCAATCATCTTTTTGAGGATCTTTTTTAAATACTCAGATGTTATTGAAGAAAGACAAGTGTTTAGACAAAAATATTTTAGTGTGGTAATTTTACCATGCATGTAGCCATTTTATTGGTATGTGCATATTTCTCTTTCTTTTCACAATTAAGATGAATGAGAATACCATTCCAGTTTTACTAGACTGTGAAGTTTTAGCATAACAAAAGCTTTATGTCGCATTAACTGCAGATGTATGTCTGTGTGTATGCATTATTTATAATTCATAGTGCTAAAAATAAAAAGTGTCTGGGACTGAATAATATTCTATTTGTCATCCTACTCATACTGCGTTTAGTAAGCTTTATAGGCAAACATTCATCCCAGTGAAGAGAACAATCATTTATTCACACAAGAAAAAGCTTTTTATGCTACTTTTAAAATGTATGCCTAATTTTAAATCTACAATCCTTGACCAGTAAAAAAGGAGGGGGAAAAGAGAAACTTACTTGATATATGATTATAATTGTTTGCACTAGGGCTTTCCCACCTCCCTCAGTGGAGCCCCCTTTATCCACATGCCACCCAGCAACCCCAGATCTCTAACTTTTAATATATTGTATATGCCTGAAAATATGTGTTTGCCTGCTGTAAAATTGAAGGTGTATTTTTATATATAAGGTGGAAATCTCTGAAAATGCATACCCAGTGTTTTGTTTTATAGCTAAGATCAAGGAAAAATTGTATGTGTGGTTTATGTTCCAGCTAATGTCATCAAATTTATGCTTTAGACTGTGAAATTTTAATACCAAAAATCATTTCCAGCGTAATACACAATTTCTAATCATTGCTGATAGAATAAATTGCTTCACAGTATCAACTCTTAAACTCTTACATTTTTCTATAACCTTGGAATTTGATCAGTTGATGATCATAACTTTTTTTTGCCATGTATGTATAAACCTCACTTGGTTTTCCTCAAAGAACAGCAGGAAGTAGTAAATTATTTTCATGAAACAATATTAAGACAGGAATAGAGTCTATCTGGAGGTGACAGTATGGTGTTTATCATAGAAATCATTTGCTGGCATATATAATTTTTTTCTGCAGTAATGGGGATCAAATCCAGGGCTTTGTGCATATGCTAGTCAAATGCTCCACCTCTGAGCTACATCTCCAGCGTTTGTCTGTTTGTTTGTTTGTTTGTTTGTTTTAGAGACAGCATCTCACTGTTACCCAGCTGGCCTGAAAGTTGTGCTCCTTCTGCCCATGCCTCCCAATTTTAATCATGCTTAAATTGATTATTTTATTGTTCATTATGATAGTTGGCTAATCTTAGTTAGACTACTCAGAAAACACTAATTTTCTCTTTTTTCTTTCTTATATAACTGCTGTTTCAAACTGTTTTCCCTTGCAAGTGGCTGATGAGCAGTTGGGTATTTTGGAGTGTTTGAAGAGGGAATTATTTTCTTTTCAATGAAATTGGCAGCAGTGAATGCTGAAATGACAACATACACTGTGGTAATTAATTCCTCCTCCATTAAGTCTTTTTGTTTTATCCTCAGGATGGAGTATACTTGTTTGTTTTTTCCATTGGGTTACTAATTTTGTGAAAGTTGTTTCTAGGTTGAGAAAAGTAATTTTGAATTTCTTTTTTACATAATACTCCTTAATAAAATCTGCCATGGTTGCATGCATTTGCCAAAGCATATACATTTCACTAGGCTTTGAGGTTACAAGGCAAGAGATTTCTTTAAAATTCACACTCGAATGCTTTTCATTTGACCCAAGATTCTGGCTTAATAAATTGATCAAGCTGGCCATTTTTAAGCTCATCCAGAAGGCCAATACTATTCATATTATTAAAAACAAATATGGGCAAGTGTCATTTACAGATTAATTTCATCCCAAGGCATGTGCTTTATTCTTTGTTCCCTCCTACCTCCATGTTAATTTAGAAAAGAGACCATTATAGTCAGACATTTGAAGTAGATGGAGAAGTGCCTTGTCTTTTTTGAACAAAGATAACATATTATGTGGAAGGAAGCAGAATGAATTGGTAGATTATTAGATTAGAAATCATCCTCTTCAACTAGATCTAGAAATACTTTACAAGTGTATCGTATTTTATTATATAAAGCCTATTTCCTTGTTTTCCTCTAATATGTGATATATTAATGACAGACTATCACAAAATAGGACCATCAGTCATTTAAAAGCTAGGATAATTTTAATGCTAGTAAGCATAATTTTAATTGGTTCTGGGAGGACAGTGGTCTTTGAAGCCCTACCAAAACCCACTTAAGTATTTAATGTCTATATCATACATATTATTATGACCTGTAAACACTAATGTCTGAGAAATTACACTGCTAATATTTATCAATATATTTTAATGAAATTTTTCTTGTTTTTTGATAATTTCAGTAAAATTTGATAACGTTTGTAAGCCTTTGAACAAGTAGGGTTTTTTCAAGAGTATGAGAGCTTTAAAAAATCATTAGCATTTTTATTTTCTTTATAGATAATTGCCACTTTAAAAAAGTCAAACCTTACTACTTCAACATAAAGCCCCCAAATGATATTTCATTAGAATTTACTATATTGATATAGGAAGATACAAAGGATATAGAAATTATATTCATCTCCTGATTAATTGGCGCACTTTTACATGGAAATACTGTTTGCTAATTTGATTATAAATGCTCAAGTTTCTTAAAATTAGGTCCTGTTACACCTATAAAAGTCTGCTCTTTAAAAAACATTTGTTTTGAAATGATTGCCAAATTATTCCATTTTCCTTAAGTGGTGAATTGTGGGAAATTTTTCACAGAAAAGGCATAGGTTTTATTAATATCTGTACATGTAATATGTAGACGGATGAATAGATAGATAGATACATAGATACATAGATAGATAGGACAGGGCCTGATTATAAGCCAACCTTTTCATTTTGATGATGGCAGCCTGAGAATATGTTCCATTTTCTATGGAATTTGTCAGACTCCTGTTAAATGAAGAAATGGCCTAATATTCTGGGCCCCATAAAAGTCACCTAAATTATATGTCAGCCTCTTGATCTGTAAAATTACAGGGCTGAACCTAAAGCTGAACAGAAAATTAGAGATTATCTAACATTCTGTGATGCTAGGAATTCTTAGGAAATTTTTACTCTATGTATTTAGAATGATTTTTCCCAAATCTGCTACCCTTGATGGAAACTCTCACAGCATCTTGCACACGTTGAAAGTGCAGTTTACTGGCTGGCTGTTCAAGTGTGTTATTGTTACTCAGACTGAACGTGATGCCTGCTAGACCTTAATCCTTCCATGTTGATAAAAGTGAATGTAATTCCTCTAGCAACTGAGGACTGAGGTCTATGTGCTTTAACTATGTGGAATCTAACTATGCAGTTGGTATCCAGGTGAGAATGATAGCTTTGACAATGGATATATGGTTTGACATTTATATGAGGGATTTCATATCCAGCTCAACATATGCTTTAGTGTTTTATGAAGTTCCATATCCTCAAAAATATCTATGGGAACAAACTGATAAGTTTAGGTGGAAAGGAAAATAATGTGTACTTCAAACCCAAGTCAATTGTGGTTTAATTTTTAGCTTTGCTGCCTAATTCCTCTGTATCTCATGTCCTCATTGCTGAAGTGAGGACAATAATCTGTACCTACCTCACGGGGGAATTGAGGATTTTTTTCATTTATTAATGTGTTCTGAAGTTGATTGAAAGATATACTAGATATCATAATTATGTAATTCCTAAATAGTTTCCTTTAAATCTGTTTTCTTTCTCAGTAAGACCCTACAGAATGAGTGTTGCAGTTGATCTATTTTTCAGTAATAAATTTTGCTATTAAACATGACTAATTGTATTATGTTAAACATGACTAATTGTATTATGTTAATACTTGATTAGGGAGGAAAAACAGGTAGAGTAAATCAGTGATTCCTAGTTTGGGGCAGATGAAGTTAAAAGTGGGGGATATCCTTGATCCTTTTGAATTATTTCAAAAAATACACTAGAAATTGTACATTGACCCATAATATTTCTGCTACACGAGCCAATTGAGACATGGAATTTTCAGGCATTTTCCTTATATTCTTTCAATTCTGTCAGTAAACACTGCTTAATTACACTAATCGGAAGCTGTGAATAGCAGTATTTTCATTATTGAGTAAAAGAAAAGCCTATTATTACATGCAATTTGTTAAATACTTGAAAACACAGAGAAGGAATCAAGAAGAGATCCACATGATGAAAATGTTGGGAGCCACTTTTATAAAAGAACTAAGATTATTTGACTCTTCACAGATTGCTTACCTAGTCCCTAAATAATGAAGAGGGGTGTGTGGTTGTGTGTGTGTGTGTGTGTGTGTGTGTGTGTGTGTGTGTTGCTAGATTGGTCTATATAACTTCAGAGTAGAATTCATCTTCAGTTTTCTTTTTTAGGACTATATAACAGCTAATTTACCAAGGCGTGTACATGTAATTTATATATCTATATATACACGTACAAAATTCCAAATGTGGGAAGTGTTATGTCATGTTTTAGCATTGGGTTATATATCGGTTTCTGAGTCTCAAAGTAGTTCTGTGTGTAAACTCAACATGAATCAGGGCAATAATTTCTCAAATATTCTTTTTCTGTTTATATTATTTAAGCTTTTATCTTGGCTTAATTTTCCATTTTTCTAGTAAGCAAATAGTGTAAAATTGTTTTAATGCCTGGACTTTGGAACAAGTTACAAATGTTTAAAACTATATAATCTACAAGCTAGTTTGCCATTCTTGGACTAACCGCAATGAAATATGAGTCTCAGCGGCAAGAACAGAACATCTGGATAGCTAAAAAGTGGACATTGATCAAAACATCTGGCAGAAAATCCTACAATTTCTACTTTTTGGCAGAAGATTCCTGTTGGGACAGCTTTACCAGAAAAGAATAATAGTGGATGTGTCCGTTCAAACCAAGAACTTTCATGCTTCTTGTAGTGTAACATAGCCTGTGGAATGAATCCATTTTTCTCTCTTGAATCCAGAGATGACTCCTCTGGAAGAACTCAACCTATATACAGCTGTGCCAAAATAAAGAATACCTGCCTCTCTGAAACTGTCACTGCTGCTTCTGTCATTGTTCACTTGTCAAATAAAACTTTATTCTCAGGATGCAAAATTAAAATAAAGTGCAAATCTATATAATATATTGAATTGTGTGTTTTGGGGGCACATCTTTCTTCCCTTCTTTGTGGTTTCATCAATATAAGGTAATTATGTAAAAGTTCTTTTCAAAGTTGTAATTTGCATATTTCCCCTTCCCACACTGGCTAGTGTTATGTCTGATCCTATATGTAATTTAATTGGCTTTGGGGGCCTTTTTGTGCCTAGTGTTTGGTATATGGCTAAGTAGAAAGTTACTTCAAAATGACTTTTCTTTCACCCTGCATGCCTGCCTCTGAAGTATAAAATTAAAATATGGAAGAGTCCATCCTGGTTACAAGATGACCATGGCAAGAGAAGGAAGTTTCCAGATGTGCACCTGAATACTCAGGTCCTCCAAAATGGAGGAACCAAAGCTAGATAAGGAAAGGCAAACAAGAAACTCCAGATTCAATTCCAGTATGGGGAACAGAAAGGGAAGCCCCATTTGCCCCAGGTCCAACCTACACACAATTTTGGGAGAGGATCTAATACCCTGAGTGAGAGATCCAGCAAGGAAGGGCCAAGGCTATTCAAAAAGGGTCTTGACTTTCCTACCCTCCCCACCTCCAAAGGGAACACAGCAAGATATTCAAAGGCTAGAGCATCAGGAAAACTGAAAGCAGGTGTTTTGAGAGGCCCCTACTGGCCCCTTGGGGAATTTGAAGGCAGATGCAATAACCCTGATTAGGGACTTGATCGAGTGCTGAGAAGACTGGTTCAGGGACTACTTAAGCAGTAGTATCTGTGAATAAGGAGACCTTGGAGAGAAGAGACCAAACAGTCTCTGGAATAGGAATCTTCCCATTCTTCCTCCGAACACCAGAAGTGTTTGTGCCAAACTCACTGTAGACCGTCAGGCACCCACATGGGAAACCCCCATGATTCCTTGCCAGGGGCTGCTGGCAATGGGACCTGAGGTGGGAGGACAGCAGAGTGGCACACTAGCCAGAGGGTGTTCAGCGGTGCGCTTGACAGAAGGTTTGTGAGGGAGAATACAAAAACGGCAGCAGGATTTGCTTTGTAGGGAGATGACTGGGATGGAGAGGGATCTAACAAGTCAACAAAAGTTAATTACTAAACTAATCACACTGCACCCTTTCCTCATTCAATTATCTGAGGGGGTCTGGCTTTAAGACAAAGGCAAAGACCTACAGGGGCATACCCAGTGCTTGCAGCAGAGAAGAGGGCTTAAAGGAACATTGAGATCTACAAACCTCATTCAGTGGCAGGCACTTGGGCAGGTCATGGGGAGGACCAACTCCGAGGCTTGCAATAACAAGCAGAGTGCTGTGGAATGGGAAAGGAGGAAAAGAGGTAACTTGTGGACACAGCAACTCTGTAACAAGCAGGAGAGAACCAGGCCCATGGCTTATCTGGTCCCTACAGATTGAACCTTACCCAACTGTGAACATGGTGGGAAAGAACTCACTATTTGAACCCAGAATGCAACATCAGTAGGTCTGCGACAGCACTTTAATACTATGTTTTTGCCACCTCACTTTTTTGGTGTTTATTTTTTCTCTCCTTTCATCTCCTTAACTTCGCTCTCTTCCTGTATTTTTCTGTATTCTGTATATAGAAAGTGTCTGTGTAAGTGGAAAGGAGAATAATTAGAGCTTTAAATACTAGCTTTCAAAGGCAAGTCAGCGTAACCTTCACCACAATTTTGTATAGAGGATTCAAACATAAGGTAACTCACAACATATTAACAGGTTCCAGCCTTCTTAAAACTTACTTCAATGTATCCCCTCTACTCCTCCCAAAATATTCTCTTAAACCCCTCAACACTAGCCCTCTCTCCAGCTATTAAAATAATTCCAATAGAGTCCAATCTCTTGTTTGATTTTCACCTATTGATAGTTCTCTCCTCAACTGATTGATTTCCCCCTTTCTTTTTCCTTTTCCCCTTCTCACCACATCCCGATCAACCTGTTAGTAGCACTATAGCATAGTCTGTCTAGGTCACTGTAAAGGGTGAAATTGTCAATACAAGTTTTAATGTACATGACTGATGTGTGGTTAGATCTGTTAATATCGGTATAACTGGTAGGGACTCTGTCTATGCAACACAATGGTCAAGTCTGATTCTATTAAACTGAATAGGTTGAAGAGGTAGATATATACAAAAAGTAACTAAATCCAAGATCACTTCACTGGGAAGGAAACAGTAACTAAAGAGGTCTTTACACTAGCAACAGTCTTTCAACTCTAATAGATCTTCAACCAGCAATGCACACACACACACACACACACACACACACACACGAGAAAATCTGGCAACAAAATGCCTCCAAAAACTCTTAAATCCCCCAAAGTAGATCAAATGGGCATCAATGAGGAAGAAATAAAAAACTAAAGGGCTGAATTACCTGAGATGATAAAAGAACAGACAAAAAACCCCCCCAATAATGTGTTTGGCAACCTCAAGGACAATATAACTAAACAGAAAATGGACTTATTAAACTAAATGATCAGTGAGGTTAAAGAAGGCATGAATAAAATGGTACCTAAGCTAACTAAAATAATGCAAAACATGAATAACCAGTTAGCAAAGAATTAAAGTCTATGAAAAGATGCCAAACAGAAATACAGGACATAAAATTCTATGGAGACTATGGGCAGCAGAAGTGACTAGTGTGAAGAGTCTCACAACTAGAAGATATGGCTAACACATGTAAGTGATACCCTAAAACTGAAAGATCACCAAGCTGCTATGACACAATGAAGACTAACCTAAGATTAATTGGAATTAGAGAAAAATTAGAACATGATATGAATGGCATAAAAAATCTGTTTATAGAAATCTCAGCAGGAAATTTTCTAAGTCTTTAGAAAGAATTTAACATACAGGTAAGTAAAGCATATAGAACCCCAAATAGCCACAACCAGGAAAAAACTTCCCCATGGCACATCATGGTCAAAATCCCAGAAGTTCAATATAAGGACAGAATTTTAAAAGCTTTCAGTGAAAAGCAAAATTACCTATAAATGTAAACCTATTAGAATAACCAGATTTCTCAACACAAATCTTAAAGATTGGGGGCTGTTTGAGATTATGGTCTCAAGAGGCATCCATTTTCCTACAAACGACTCAAGTTTATCTTTATGTCAGAGAAGTATTCCATTGTATATAAATACCATATTTTCTTTATCCACTGATCCATTAATGGGCATCTGGGCTGTTTCCAAAATTTAGCTATTACAAATTATGCTATTTGTGCTATTAGAAATTATGCTATTACAAATTTAGCTATTATAAACATGGGTATGCATATGTCACTGTGGTACGATGATTTTACCTCTTTGGGAAGACACCAAGAAGGGAAATACTTACATCAAGTGGAACCTCTAGTTTTAGTTTTTTGAAGACTCTGCATGCTGATTTTCATATTGGTTGTAACAATGTTACACTCCCATTGGCAATGGAGAGGGCTTCCTTTTTCTGTATAGCCTCACTGGTTGATTTCTTGATGATAGACATTCTTTCTGGAGATGGAATCTCAGTGTTGTTTTAATTTGCAATTCTTGAATGACCAGTGATGTTGAAAATGTTTTCATATACTTATTTGCTGTTTGTACTTCTTCATCTGAGAAGTGTCTATTCATTTCAGATGCCCAGTTTTAGATTGGGTCTTTAAATTTGGGGGGTCTGATTTTTGTGTTCTTCATATATTCTAGATATTAGTCATTTGTGGAATAGCTGGTAAAAATTTATCCCACTGTATGGGATGTCTCTTCGTTCTGTTGGTTTCTTCTGCTGCACAAAACTTTTTAATAAGACGAGATCCCAGTTGTTGATTCTTTGTAATATTTCTTGTGTAATCAGGGTTTTGTTCATGAAATCTTTGTCTACACCTGTGTCTTCAAGAGTTTTACCTATTCTATCTTCAAGCAGAATTAATGTTTCTGTTTTAATATTTAAATATTTAATCCATTTTGATTTCAATTTAGTGCATGGTGAGAGACATGGGCCTAGTTTTAGTCTTTGATATGTGGAAAGCCAGTTTTTCCAGCACCATTTATTAAAGAGGCTATCTCTATTGCAGTGAATATGTTTGGCCCATTTGTCAAAGATAAGGTGACTGAGTGTTTTTGGAGTTCTTTTTCCCTCTTCTATTCTGTTTCATTGATCCTCAGGTCTGTTTTATGACCAGTACCATGCTGCTTTTTATCACAATGGCTCTATAGAATAATTTCAAGTCAGGGATTTTGATGCCCCCTGCCTTGTCTTTGTTGCTTAGAATTGTTTTTGGTATTCTAGGTTTCTTCTAATTCCAAATGAATTTTAGGAATGTTTTCTGTAGTTCTGTGAGGTGCTACTAGTAATTTGTTTGGGATTGCAATAAATCTGTATAACAATTTTTGGAGTATAGCCATTTTCACTATGTTGGTTCTTCCTACCCAAGAGCAGGGAATATCTTTCGATCTTCTGATATTTTCTTCAATCTCCTTTTTAAGAGTACTGTAATTTTCTATACATAGGTCCTTTATTTCCTTTGTTAGATTGATTCCTAAATATTTCAATTTTTGGTGCTATTGTGAAAGATGTTTCACTAATTTCTTTTTCAGTGATTTTGTTATTCATGCACAGGAATACTATTGATTTTTAAATGTTGACTTTGTATCCAGCTATGCTACTGAATTTGGTTATTAAATCTAGAAGTTTTTGGTGGAGTTTTTGGGGTCTTCTACATAGAGAATCATGTCATCTGCAAATAATGATAATTTAACTTCTCCTTTTCTATCTTTATTAATTTTATTTTTCTTCTCTAATTGCTCTGCCTAATGCTTCCAGAACTATGTTAAATAGAAGTGGTGATAGTGGACACCCTTGTCTTGTTCCTGATTTTAGGGTGAAAGCTTTCAATTTTTGACCATTTACTATGATGTTGGCTGTTGGTTTGTCATAGATGGCTTTTATCAGATTGAGATAAAAACCACCTATTCCTATTTTCTGTAGGGTTTTTATCATGAATGGGTGTTAGACTTTGTCAGGTGCT